GACCTGAGATGACAGGATGTGAATTGTTGAATAGAACCATCGATTATTGGTGCTTCGATAATCCGTCTCTGCTGTCCCCTTTAGGCCGGACAAGTTTGGACTGTTGAGCTACTACCTGATGGACGCGGCGTCCGTACTGCCTTCTCTGGCGCTGGACGTCCAGGCGAATCACACGGTTCTGGATCTCTGCGCCGCTCCTGGTGGAAAGGCCCTGGCTTTGCTACAGACGCAGTCAGCCAGTGAGTGGGGGGGTCTTCATCCACCGCCGCCCCCGTCCTCCGCGTCGCCTGCTAACCGTCCGCTAACGCCGCTTCTGTGTCGCAGGGTTTCTGTGCTTAAATGACTCGTCTGTGTCGCGGACGTCGCGGTTAAAGAGGGTCCTGCACAGCTACGCTCCCAAAGAGCTTCTCACCGACGACAAGCTGCGCATCACCTCGGTTGACGGCACCATGTGGGGCGAGATCGAACGGAACTCCTTCGACAGGGTGAGACGGCGTCATGCGATGGCGGCGGTTTGTCGCTCCGACTATGGGGAGAATTTGCTTCCAAAATTGTCATAAGCAAAAACACATTTAAAAAGAATTTTAAAAAAGCAATCCAGGAATAAAACTTTGAAAAAGGTTTTAATAAGTTTTCTAACTCAGATTTTTTCATTTTCATATTTAATTTTTTTCTTTCTTTTTTTAAAATTTCTCTTTCAGATTGTAAGAATTGCAGTCTTTTCAAATTGTGTTTTGCAGATCAGTCTGAAAAAAAAACAGCAAAGTTACTCCTGACACATTTTTTTCATTTCTTTCAAATTCTTTCTTTTTAAATTTAAATTTACCAAACTTGTTCTGGCTATGGGGAGAATTTTGTTCCAAAATTGTCATAAGCAAAAAAACACATTTAAAAAGAATTTTTAAAAAGCAATCCAGGAATAAAACTTAGAAAAAGGTTTTAATAAGTTTTCTAACTTTACTGTTAAATCACATTTTTTAATTTTCATATTCAATTTTTTTTATTTTTGTTTATTTCTCTTTCAAATTGTGTTGCAAGAATTGCAGTGTTTTCAAATTATGTTTTGCAGATCAGTCTTTTATTTTTAAGACCAATAAGAATGTTGTTGCTAACGTCCATTTCGACCAATAGAAATGCATCTTTTCTCCTCACGCCACAGGAAGGCCCGCCTCTAAAGGTGAAGATGATGTGGAAACATGATTTAAAAGAATGAAATTCATTAGAGTCAACCTGAAAAAGATTTGTAAAAATAAAATCAAATTTAGTATTTAAATTGTAATAAATTATAAAAAATTAAGTTATTAAAATGATAAATAAATAAAATATGGAAAACAAAATTTGATTTAAAAAAAGAAATCTGAAAAAAACAGCAAAGTTACTCCTGACACAATTTTTTCATTTCTTTCAACTTTCCTTTTAAATTTAAATTTACCAAACGTCTTCTTTGCAACAACAAGGAAGCAAAATTCCCCCCATAGCTGATGTGATTTAAAAAGGTGACCGCGTCGGTTTGTTTGTCTGCCTTCAGGTTCTTGTCGACGTTCCCTGCACCACAGACAGACATTCGCTCATGGAGGACGACAACAACATGTTCAGCAGGAGCCGAGTCGGAGAAAGGCGGAGCCTCCCTCGGCTGCAGGCGGAGCTTCTGCTGTAAGAAAGATGGAGACACTAAACCAGACACGGAATGACATGAACCAAAAGAAAAGTTTGTTCAGCTTCACGCTGCAGGGCCCTTGCTGTAGGGGCGGGGCTTATCGATGACTAATGCTACGTTCACACCTAACGCGCTTTGAACAGCAGAGGCAGCTAGTTTACATGCAAAGTTAATGGTTGACGTGCATCAAGGCGCAGCAAAAGGTCCTGCAGCGCATTTTGAGCATTTCACCGCAAGATTCCACATACCCCGCCAGCGCCCCACCCCACTCACCTACGCCGTGCGGAGTATTTGTCTGTGATGTTAATCAATGAGAACTGTTCCACATCTACCGCTACTCCTCCGCACATCACCGTCCACTAAGGGATGGAACAGTTAATTAAAACCGTTCGGTTCGATTGTTGTGGATAAAAGTTGTGGATAAAAGTGCAACAGTGTGCAAGCATTGTGCAACACGTTTTGTTTATGCTAACAGCAACATGACCAACATGTCATGCTAACCC